CCAGTCCACACAAGAGATCCACTTCCTGGACACTACGGTGCTAATAAGCGATGGTCACATAAACGCCACCCTATACCGGAAACGTACTGACCGCTATGCCTACCTACATTCCTCCAGCTTTCGTCCAGACCACATCACACAATCCATTGTCTATAGCCAAGCTCTACGATACAACCGCATTTGCTCCAACCCCTCAGACAGAGACAAACACCTACAAGATCTCTATCAAGTGTTCTTACAATTACAATACCCACCTGCTGAAGTGAAGAAACAGATTGACAGATCCAGAAGAGTACCCAGAAGTTAACTACTACAGGACAGGCCCAACAAAGAAAATAACAGAACGCCACTAGTCATCACCTTCAGCCTCCAACTAAAACCTCTCCAGCGCATCATCAAGGATCTACAACCTATCCTGAAGGACGACCCATCACTCTCACAGATCTTGGGAGACAGGCCAGTCCTTGCTTACAGACAGCCCCCCCCAACCTGAAGCAAATACTCACCAGCAACCACACAACAGAACCACTAACCCAGGAACCTATCCTTGCAACAAGGCCCGTTGCCAACTGTGTCCATATATCTATTCAGGGGACACCATCATAGGGCCTAATCACATCAGGCACACCATCAGAGGCTCATTCACCTGCACATCTTCCAATGTGATATATGCCATCTTGTGCCAGAATAAATGGACACAAATCACACGTCAAGAATTATAACATTCATAAACCAGTCGGAGAACACTTCAATCTCTCTGGTCACTCGATTACAGACCTAAAAGTGGCAATTCTTCTTCAACAAAAAAACTTCAAAAACAGACTCCAACAAGAGACTGCTGAATTGGAATTAATTTGCAAACTGGATACAATTAACATAGGCTTGAATAAAGTCTGGGAGTGGATGGGTCATTACACAAAGTAAAACTATTTCCCCACGTTTATTCCCCTCCCTCTGCTGTTCTTCAGACGTTCTTGTCAACTGCTGGAAATGGCCCACCTTGATTATGACTACAAAAGGTTCCCCTCCTCATCCACCCACTCTCCTGCTCGTAATAGCTCACCTTACCTGATCACTCTCCTTACAGTGTGTGTGGTAACACCCATTGTTTCATGTTCTCTATGTATATAAATCTCTCCACTGTATTTTCCACTGAATGCATCCAATGAAGTGAGCTGTAGCTCACGAAAGCTCATGCTCAAATAAATTTGTTAGTCTCTAAGGTGCCACAAGTACTCCTTTTCTTTTTGCGGACACAGATTAACACGGCTGCTACTCTGAAACATTTCTTGGGTGGTGACTCTTCTTAGATGCTCCTGGAGTACAGCATCAAACTAGCCATCAGGTCCACAATTTTAAGGAAGTTTTCATTGTTTGGCACATACAGCTGATCTGAAGTGCCACACAGGGCTAGGTTTTGGGTAGCAAGCAGTCTCACAATGGCAACGAGCCTTTTCAGAACATTTTGCCAGTAAAGAGAGACTGATGCAATCTTCTCTTGATGCTGATCATCTATGGTGGCCTTTAACCTTAGTCTCTTCTCAAGCTCTTTCCACCTGTGGAATGCTCTCTGGTGATTTGCTGCCTTCTCATGGCATGCCAGATTTCTAGCCAGATTTTTCCAGTCCTTTGTTCCTGTAGAACCCAATGTGGCTGGAACATTAGACTGGAAGAGTTTGCAACAAAAACAGTATATAGCATTCTGGGGTTTTGAGTACATAACCCATGGCCTCTCCACTTTGTCAGCATTGGGGATTTCACGCCAGTAATGTGTTGGGTGGAAACTTCTGTTTTCATTGTCTTTGGGGAATATGAAGTTTTTCACTTGCTGTGGCCCAGGCAGTACAAGGAAGTCCCTCAGGCTACTGCTCAAGTGAGTCCACAGTCCTGGATCATCTAGACTTAAGGAACTAAACTCAGCAGCAGCTGTTTCTTGCACCTCCACCACACTCTTCTCTGGTCTACACTTTTCTTCAGGACTGTGCATGGTTACATCCAGATATGGATGCTGCAATAGCTGCCAGGTCACCTGCACTCTGACTAACTTGAAGATCAGGCATCTCCTCAGCACTCACATCCTCACTGGGGCCGGAAGGCTCACCGTGAACATTTGTGTCTATGTATCTCAGGAGAGCTCCTTCCTGCTTAAATAGAAAAGCTTCCTTTGCTTTTTCTTTTCCCGAATGCTGCCCCAGGGGGGCGTTTTTTTCTTTCACTCCTGACTGCTGTTCTGGGCCAGCGATAGTGGCTCTCAACACTCAATTGAAGGGGACAAATAAGCAGGCTGGTAGCAGGGCCTGAGTGAGGGAAGAGATCAGCGTCTTAAGGGCCTGACTGGCTCCTACTACTTCAGTTGACTGCCTGTTCTCCTCAAGTGGGTTCAGGGAAGCAGCAGGAAACAGGAATCATATAATATCAGGGTTGGAAGGAACCTCAGGAGGTCATCTAGTCCAACCCCCTGCATCAATTCCCACCCCAGATTCTTAAATGGCCCCCTCAAGGATTGAACTCACAATCCTGGGTTTAGCAGGCCAATGCTCAAACCACTGAGCTATCCCTCCCTGAGAAGCTGGGGTTAATCAGTCCAGGCTCCTGGGGGGGCTGGAGAGGTACATAAGATGCTTCTCCTCCTCTCTCTCCCTGCAGCTCCTGCTGCTTTCTGTTATTCCCTCTCCCCTGTTCCTGCCTGCCTGTTCTGTCTCTTGTGCCCTCCTTCCTCCAGCACAGCACTCCCCCATCTCTGTGCGTCTAGAGCAGAGAGAATACGTGTGCACCAGCAGCAGACACAATTGTCTACACTCTGAGTCCCAGTGGCGCCTCCTCCCCCCCTCCACAGTCTGGCACCTGAGGCAGCCGCCTCAGTTTGCCTCCTGGTAAGGCCAGCCCTGTGCGGTGGGCCCCATAAATCCTAAGGACAGCCCTGCGCTTGGGGGAGGGGAACAGGATGTGAGCGAGGGAAAGGTGCCCCCTATTTGTTTAGAGGCCTTTGGTGAGTTTCCAGCTGAATTTTCATCCTGACACCTGTACACATGTGCCCACACACAGAGGTGCGAGCACACACTCAGATACACACAAACACATTCATTTGCATGCACATACACATGCACACTTGCATTGCACACACGCTGCATGCACACACCCATTACACACTGCATGCATGCAGGCACGTTGTGTGCACACACCCATTGCACACACACTCCCATTGCACGCACACTGCATGCATATACATTGTATGCACACGCCCATTGTGCGCGCGCACACACACACACACACACACACACACACAGAGTCTGCACACAACCATTGTGCGCACACCCCCAAGGCAGCATGTTTTACGTGAAGAGTTTAAATCAGAAAACAGACCATGCGGTTAAAAGGTGAAGCTGCTGGTTTTTAAGCTAATGTCAGGGGGAGGGGTGGTCTCTTGGACTTTGAAGTCGTGGGGTTAGCAATGCTGGGAATACAGGGACCACACACTCAATGGGTCAGCGATCAAATGTTTGTACTTCAGCGTGTCATGGACCTGACAATGCCAATGCTTTGGCTGAGGAAGGCTGGAGGAATCTTTTGATCCCTGCTGTAATATTTGCTGCCAAAAATGGCACCCTAAATATTGGACATTCCTGGGCCTTCAGAGTCTTGGGGATCCAAACCCCAATCTGCACATGGATTTTGCAAATGGCCCTTCTCTTTACAATGGGCCAGGCCAACTCCCCTGCTCTAACTCCCCCTGGAAAACCAGATCCAGTTTGACCTTTGTGGCTGGTCCCCATCCCTGGGCATTTGCTTGGAACATGAGAGCATGTCCAGTGGGAAGCTGCACAGGGCAGCAGACTGGGTGGCAGGACTCCTGGGTTCTATTCCTGGCTCTGCTATTGGCTCGCAGTGTGACTGTGTACAAATCACCAAAGCCAATTCGAAATGTTCCCATGGAACTAGTGGGATGGTTATAGCCCTCATCTGTCTCTCTCCAAAGCAGCCTGAGGGCAAAGCTGCTGTTCCCTTAGTTACTGCATAACCTTTGCGGTCCTTTACCTTCTTCAGAACCCGCTTCTGTATCCTCTGGAGTCCTTCCCTGCCTCCCCTGCGTTCAGTGCTACAGGTGTGACCTCACCTGCCCTCTGCAGAGTGCCTGGGTCCCTCACTTCTGCATGCTGCATTGCTGTTGAAATTCACCCAGCCCCCTTGCTAGCACGTCAGGGTGGGGAACGCTTCCTCAATAGTCCTAATAATAATAATTAATAACGTATTAATAGCAGTAACATCTGTATCCATGTGGAATCTTGTTATTCTTAAAAACACCAGGAATTAGATAACCCAGCCACCCGAGAAAGGCCTGCTCTGTGCTCCCAGAAGGACACACAACGCCAGGGTCCATCCCTATTAGCGTGGGGCCAGTCCCTCTGCATCAAGACTTGGGGATCAGGAGAGGACCCTTTAATGTCTCATGCACCCCAATGCCTACCCCAAACTTTCCCATCAAACACCACTTATGTTCCCCATGGGCCTCTCTGCTGCAGGATCGTTGATCACCATGGGGAGCACTGCACCGTAGCTGCAGGGGTAAATCCCAGCTCTGGTAGACATCTACGTGCTAGCTCTGCCCGAGCTACCTGAAAGTAGCCGTGTGGCCATGGCAGCTCAGGTGGCCGTCTGGGCTAGCCGCTCGATGTCAGGCGGGGCTGTATTTGGGCCCCTGGCCACACTTCCATGGCCGCAAATGCTGCTGAGCAGAGCTAGAGAGGGTATGTCTCGCTGAGCTGGGAATTACACCGCCCAGCCGCAGGGCAGACTCCGTGTTAGTGCTACTCTCTGCAGGGATTGCCAGTCACTTATTTGCAGCCTACAAGGCTGCGTTTCAGGAACCCTGTGCACCCCGAGCCTCCCTCCCATCCCCTCCCACACTGGAGAGAGCTTGAGGCTTTGTGTCTCCAAGCCCAGGGAGTGGGGGAAGCCTCCAGGGTGTTGGTTTTTTAAAGCCTTTTCTTTTCTCATTATAGGATGTTGCAGAACAACCAGCTCAGCCGGATCCCGGCCGAGGCACTGAGTGATCTTCCAAACCTCCAGTCTCTGTAAGTCATTAAAGGATCCCCGCTGGGAGCTGCTGGCTTCTCAGCACCAGAGTCATTAGTTCCTCTGTCTCTTCTGCCTTGTCTTTCCCCTCGTGAGCTACTGTCCCTAATCTTGTGGGGAGGGAGGGCACCTGTTGTGGTGGGACCACTGTCTTGTTAGGGTTGCTGGAATTAGACCTCCCCATGTGAGAAGGCCACCGCTGCTGGTGTAGGTTTCCAGGAGCCCTGGGAAAAGGCTCTCTACGAGGCAAGCTATACCCCTAGCCCTGCGGTTACAGTCTAGCCTGGAGCAGCACAGAGCCTAGCAGGTTTGAGTAGGGGACTGTGGGCTTGTCTACACCATGCAGCTTTTAGCAACAGGGCTGTGTTGCGACAGCCTTGTCGCTAGAAGTCGGCGTGTGTAAACGCTCTTTGTCGGCACTTTGTCGTTGCTTTTGCCGACAAAATACTTCCACCCCTGCGAGCGGCATTCGGTTTGTCGGCAGGAGAGCGCTCCTGCGGACAAAGCCGTGTTCACACTGTCGCTTGCCACGGCAAAACTTTTGTCTTTGGGGAGGGGGCTTTTTAAAGCACCCGTGAAAGACAAAAGTTTTGTCGACAACTTGGCAGTGTAGACAAAGCCTCAGGCCTTGTTTGCATGCAACAGTTTTACTGCAGAGGTACAAACCCTGAGGCCTAGTGTGGCTGCACCTAAACTGGTATAAAAGTGCTTAATATCCAAATAGTGATTCCTAGACAGGAAGGGGAATAGGCCATACCAGTATAAGGCACCTTTATACCAGCATATCTGCAGCCACGCTAGGGCTTGTACTGGTCTGATGATATCGATTAAAAATATCACACCCCCCCCCCCCCCCGTAATGGAACTAGTTACATTTGTACAACATTCAGGGGTTGTCCTGGCCTCAGAGCCAGGACTGCAGGGTTCCATGCCTGGCTCTCCCATTGAGTTTAAGGCGTAACTACTTTGACAGTTGGCCTCCTCTACACTAAAAAGGTAGGTTGACCCAGCGATGTCGCTCAGGGGTGTTAAGAATCCACAACCCACCCCCACCCCCAACCGGTGTAGTTAGGCTGACCTAACTCCCCGTGTAGACAGTGCTAGATCGATAGGTTGACGGAAGAATTCTCCCATCTACCGCCTCTTAGGGAGGTGGATTAACGACGGCGACGGGAGAACGCCTCCCATCGGCGTAGGCAGTGTCTACACTGAAGCACGACCGCTGTGCCACGGGAGCCTTTTAAGTGTAGACAAGCCCTTATTAGCGTGACCATGGATAGAGTAATTTCCAGGCATTTTTCACTGTGTAATAACATTCTGTTTTCATTCACACACACACACCCTGCAAGGTTGGTGAAGAATCGGAGAGCTGAAATGTCAGGGTTCTTTTCCCCACACAAAAGTGCTTTAAATGAGGTCATTTTTAATGCTTTACGTTTTCCAGCGGGTTTGTGGCTGGTCTGTATGCATTCTCTGTATGGTTTAAAGCAGCCTGAGACTGTTAATTCTGCCGGTAGCGCTTTCAAAGTGTTTGTTGCTACCGGTAGTTGGTGCTGTCGCTGAATCTGCCCACGATCACCCCCTTCCTCCCTCTGGCTCTCCTTCCTTCCCCTCCTGCCTCCCCAGATCTGTCAAATGGGGGAAACGCTGCCCACCTGCTGGAGGAGCGGTGAGGCCTAGATGCGAGGTGCGCCATGTGGTCTGTTCTACACCAATCCTACAGAAACAGCAAGATTAGGCTGTGCAGGGAGGAGCAGACCCTGTTGTTCTAGCCAAACCCCGTCTCATGCAGCATTTGCCACAGCGGCGCTCTGGGCATGTCGCGGGCAGACCCCTGCTCAGCACCCCACTGCAGGCAGACATCTACCCGGAGGGGCAGTGCCAGGCAGCCAGCCAGCACAACGCCCCGCACCTGGGCTTGACAGCTCCCCTTTCTCCCAGCTCAGTGCGGAGTGCCCGGGTAGTGACCTGCTCTGCAGTGCATGTGGGAGCCAGCTGGTGTGATGTTCTGTCCCCCTCTGGTGGTGGCCAGGCCACACAGATGCCGAAGAGCCTGCCTGAGCTAACAGAAAGTCTGTCTGTGCTTTTAGAGCCAGAGGTGCCAGGTTCAATCCCCGTGGCTGAAAACCCACCCCGGTGTGACACATGCAAAGGATGCCGAGAGCGCCAGGAGGCTGGGCAGCACAGCAACCCAGGGACTTGGTTAAAGTTTGGGGGGGTACGACCCGTCCCGTTTCTCCAGCACGGCAGGCTCAGACTGGGTCAGTACTAGGGCAGGGTGCTCCGGCGCTGCAGCATCCATCTATCTAGATTGCATCAGGAGAGAGTCACCACGAAGTTTGCTTTTCGATTCACCGAGCCCACCCTGCAGATCAAGCAGAGAGCAGAGTCTTGCGAGGCTGTTACCAGGCTGGCATGGGGAGCTTCTGTTTGTATATTCTTCTTCTTCTCAGATTTGCAGTGCTGTGGTCCCTAACATGACACTGAAAGCAGAGGTGCATTCGACCTGCACCCAGGCAGGCAGTGGTGAGCCGGAGCTTCCCACGCGTGGGACCCCAGGCGGCACGGAAGGTATATTCCGGCTGCACACACCTGCAACGCTCTGAGCCCAGCAGATGATGGCACAGGGCGAAGATGTGTTGCAGTTAGTGGTGTGGGACTGACCTGCGCCCACATCAGATTGCAGCCAGGTTCCAGCTCAACTCTGTAAAGCCACGAAGCTGGTGCTCCATCGCTGCGCCGATGCCTGGAGATCACCTTCAGAGTTCCCGGGGGGCTGGTGTGACTCCAGCAAAGCTGCTGGAGTTGCTCCCCTCTGACACCAGGGTCGTATTTGGTTCCATGGGATTCCCTGGGATTGGATTGGCCTGTGGGAGGCAAACACAATCTTGGAGGGCTATTCCGAAAGGTTTGGGGTCCTTCGGCCACTGACCCCTCTTGGAGCCAGGATCAGAAAGACACTGACTCGCTGACACTGCTGTGTCTTTGCTCTTTACGCAGCAGTGATTGTCTGGAGCAATCACATGGGCCCAGTGGAGTCCAGATAATTGTGTTTCCTGATGATACACAACATGCCAGGCGTAGCTGCCTACACAGGCGGCTGCTCCCGATGGCTTTTGGTAGCGTCAAAACACAGAACACAGTGAGCTCCACTAGAGGACTCTCAAAGTATTTAAAGGGACACTACCCTCCTCCTCTACACTATACTCATAAAGAAAAGCTCTCATCCTCTGTTTGTTCATGTGCAGCAATTTTCCTCTGAGAGCCAAATTACTCCAGAAATACCCTTCTGCAGTGACCTCCCCATTCCACCTATTTCCGTCGGACGTGTGGCCATTCGGATAAATGGGGTCTGATTTGAGAGAGATGAAAGGTTGTGGAGTAAACAGCGTTCCCCTGTAGCAAACTTCATTGTGTTTTAAGGCAGATATAAGCTGATTTGCTCCGGTTTCATTGGTGCTGCCAATACATCTTTGAATGCAAGTAACTGGCCCCTGGCCACGAGCCCCTGGGTTCTAGCCGTGTCTCCATAGAGACAGCCATTTCTGAAGAAGAGAAGGCAGCTCTGTATTAGAGATTTTTTTTCTCTTCGTAATTCAAGTATCTGTGAGTAATTTTCCACAAGTTTATGAGGCTCACATGTATTTATTACCGGCATAGTAACCAGATTGGAACATCCATATATCATTGCAGTGTGGCTTCCAAGCTTTACGAGTTGGGGTATGTGAGACCGGGCTTGTTCACCTTGCCCAGAGCTTCTGGTCTTTCCATTCAGAAATGGGAAAGGATTTTGTGGCTGTTCATCACCCTGAGTTCTGGGGCTTGCCTGGCACTTCGTGGAATATTAACTGACTGTCGTGCCGTCAGGGAACACACCATAAAATATCCTAAGCTGACAGGGCTTGCAGATTGGAGCAAACTTGAGTGTGTGGGGGGAGCATGGACAAAACCCGATTGTGTCCTGTTTATTTTCTCGCTCTTGCAGCTCTATGTGTTAGAACAAATTTCTCTTGCAGTCCGGGCAGGCGGCTGCGTCCCTGACATCACTGGCTGTTGCCCCAGCAACCGTTATGAAGTCACAATGCAGTGACTCCGATGTGAGTTCAGAGCAGAGTTGGGTGCGGAGGGAGGAAACTCGCATGTAAACGTTCACAGGAGCCTCCTCCAAAATGCTGGAGAGTGTTCGGGTTCGAGACAAGCCTGCCTCACAGTGGGTTTGATTTGCTTGGGTTTTTTGGATGAAATCAGGATTTTGGCTTCTCATAACAGTACAAATATTATTTGTTGGGAAATTACTCCGGAATTGTCAAAGGGCCACCCTGCTGTGCTCCATTGGCTGGATGGTTGGATGCCCAATTGTCTGCCTGTGTTTGCTTTTTAGTTTGATTCATGCTCTGTGGCCAGTCATCTAAGTCACGTGGTATTGTTTGTGCCCTCTGTTTGGATAGCCGGAACTGTTTAAACAGGAAAATAACAAGAAACAATTAGAGAAACTCTTGTTCATTCATAAATTCCCTTGTTCTCATTTCCTTGTGGGTTTTCGTTTGGAGGCCAGCTGCTCCCCGAACAAAAACCCATGTTGCAAATACAAAGGGATGAACACAGGTGAACTGACCAGCCATGTGGCATTCAAACGAATGCCCCTGAGTGCCCCTTTGCAACATGTGCCCTTAGGACTCAGCACTGAACTGAACCGAATGGTCCCAACTAAGTTTGGAACCCCATTAAATGTAAGAACAGAAGGCATGGGGAGAAACAGACTGAATTTGGATTCAGGCATGTTTTGGATTGAAAGCAGAGGGGGCCCTGTGCAGGTGTAAACCCCGGTCGTCGGTGGGCGGGATTGAACCTGGGACAGCTGGAGCTTCGTGCACGAGCCTTCACCGCATGAGCTAAAAGCCAAGCAGCTGTAGAGCAAGCTCTCTCTCTAAGTAGTCTCAATGCCACAAGCTGGGACACAGAACACCACACCCGGGAGGTGTGTGGGTTACACATGCTG